CAGTAAGTACAGTTGTATGCAGTAAAATCCTAGAGGCTACTGTCCCTTTAAGAACCTATTTAAGAACCTTTTGAGCCTAATTTTTCAGTAAGCACCATTTATATAAGAACATGTTGAGGCTAACTTGGAAAAATCTATGTTCTTATACGCGGGTTTCTACTGTATCTCTATTTCATCTAATTGTACTATAATATCATAGTAATAATTTTATAATGTAGTTTATATGATATCTGCATTCTTATCTTGGCTGTTCGTTACGCAATATTCTGTATTATTTCCGCAATCATATCTGGCTGCTTTTTCCTAATTGCGTTATATATACTATACGTAATGTAAATTTATAATAATGTATATACAACTGTATTCGCAACTTTTCTTCAATACGCTTATCGACGCTCGGCGTTGCTAATGTGTGATTTTTGTAAATTTGTCATCTAATTGTGCTAGAACATCATTGTAATCAATTTATAATGTTACGCTGGTCGTCTGCTTTTTTTTTTTATCTTGGCTGTTCCTGTTACCTATTATTATTCTGTTTCATTTCCGCTTTCATATCTGGCTGTTTTTTTCCTAATTGCGTCATATATCCTACAATTATGTAATGTAACTTTATAGTACCCAATCAATGTATAATGTTACGCTGGTTATTACTGCTTTTTAAATATTGGCTGTTCCTATTAGGTATTATTATTCTGTATCATTACCGCTTTCATATCTGGCTGCTTTTTTTCTAATTGCGCTTTAGAATATTATTCTAAACTTATTTTCCATTACATTTATCGACGTTTGGTGGCGCTAGTGTGAAATTTTTGTCATCTAATTAATATACTAGAATATCATGGTAACCAATTTATACTGCAATGCTTATGATGTCTGCTTTCTTATCATGGCTTTTCCTGTTCCGCAATATTATTCTGTATCATTTCCGCTTTCATATCTGGCTGCTTTTTTCTTAACTGCGCTGCGTATATATCCTATATCAGCTATATATATATGTAGTGTAACTTTATGATGTATATATTCGTAACTTTTTTCAATAAGTTTATCGCCAAACGGGGGCGCTGGTATGGCATTTCAGTCAATTTAGCATATTGTCTATTTTAACATCATGCTAGTTTTCATTTATTCGTTGATATTACCTGTTTGTATTAATATTTCACCTAATAACACTAACATGTCATTATAATTATTGCGGTATGTAATGCTTATGATATCCGTATTCTCATCTTTCCTGTTGTTGTTGTACATTATATTATTATATCTCATACTTTTGCAGTAATATCCCCGGGGGGTGCACTCGCCTCGGAACTGGGTAGGGGGG